TGTTGTCCGACGACAGTGTCTTTAGATTTTAAAATGGAAAAGTGTTCTATTTTTTATATTTTTTATTAAAAAATTTTATATATAACATGGATGCATAAAAAACTCAGGAGGAGGATTATTTGGTACCCATCTCGAAAACAGTGTCTCACTGTTTTTAATCGATTCTTAGCAAGCTCTGCACTGGTGGTAACGTTATAATGAGGCATATTCCACAGGAGGAGACCATGCTGAAATTTCCTCTTCTTGCAGTTCTCTCACAGTTGATGGTTACATCATGCTAAGAAAATGAAAAACACACATGTAGTAATAATTACCTTCTGCCGTTAGTCCTGGTTTATAAATCTCTTCATTTCATTCTTACGCTCATCTAACTCTGATGTTCTGGTTTCAGGCTCTGGTGACGATGACCCCTAATCAGAGGAGAGAGTCCCTCAGTTTGTCTCAGACCAGCCTTTCTGAGATGGACAAATCCAAGGCCTACACACTGGAAGAGTTCTCCTACGACTACTTCAGGTGCCCAACCAATCAAATCTTTCTCACAGAGAAACTACACTGGAAAAAAATCGAAATCTAAAAATGTCATTTTTTTTCTTAAAATAAGTAGCATTTGTTCTTGGATATGGAACAAGACAATTTACACTTAAAATAAGAAAACACAAATGCATTGTCTTATTTCAAGTGCATTTGATCTAATTCTTATTCTAAGAATAAAAATACTCATTCCATTGGCAAATCATCTCACTCAAATTAAGGGTAAATACACTTCATTTAAGAAATTTCTACTTACTTCTAGATTGTTTTTCCAGTATATAGAAGGCATCCCTGAGCACTGGAAAAACAATCTTCAAATAAGTAACATTTTCTTAAATTAAGTGTATTTACCATTAATTTGAGTAGGAAAATTTGATAGTTTGCCAATAGAATGAGTATTTTCACTCTTAAAATAGGATAATTAGATAAAAACACTTGAAATAAGACAGTGCAATTGTGTTTTCTTATTTTAAATGTAAGTTGTCTTGTTCCATTGGCAAAACTTGTCTTTTACCTCCTCAATCCAAGATCAAATACACTTATTTTAATAAAAAATGACTGATCTAGATTTCGATTTTTTCCAGTGAGGGCCGCCATCCTGCAGGTTTTAGAGGTTTATCTGCTCCATCACAGCTGATTTACATTAATAGCTGATTAACAGGCTATTGCTGAACTCCAATCATCAGAAATAGCTGTGCTGAAGCAGATAAACCTCTAAAACCTGCAGGACAGCCGCCCTCGAAGACCGACTTTGGGGATGCCTGGTCTATAGCCTCATTTACACGACCTTTTGGAAACCGTGCCTAGATCGGTCCGAGCATGGTAACCAGAGATGGGAAGTAACGAAGTAC